GTCCTGGACATGCGATCACGAGCACAGCATGCTATTATGATTGCTTAGCCTACATTGTTCACGCGCCTCAGGCAGTCCATCGATTGGTGGTCTCAAAGCACACATTCCTGGGAAAAGTTTCTGTTATCACCATTTTACTCATATTGCTTTCTGCTGACCTCTTGTAAACTTGTTCTTGTTTGTCTAACGATCAACTCCTGGCCTTTTCAGAACTCAGCATATTCGTTTAAAACTGCTAAGGCCCCAACACTCCTCCAACATCTGAGCTGACAACGTGCCAAGAAACCACGTTCAACTTCCTTTGAACACTATAAAAGTTGAGGACAAATTCTGGAAAATCAGGGAGAGGAAAGGGAGAAGAACTGGTGACTGTAGCCGAGAATCTCTGCCCACCTCCCCTCCCCTTTTCTCCCCACCGCGTGCTGCCTGCCTGCCACCGGAGACTGGAACTGTGCCGGCCTGGAGAGAGCTGAGACCACCGTGCTACATGTGGGAGTTCTACCTTATCCTTCTACCCTGACCATATTTCTGAGGGCCCAGAGCTTGGGCTGAGCTGAGACCCTGCAGGGCCTGGGACAGGGGCGTGAGCGGTGAAACCACACCTGGTGCATTGCAGAGAACTAAAGCTGTCAGAGCCCCTGCAGCTACAGAGACAACATCCAAAAGCTGCAGGGACAGAGAAACAAAAGGCAGGAACTGCTTCTCCTCTACCACATACACCAGCTCAGTGGGTAAAGGTACTTTTCAGAGGTATCTTTTCTCTGCTTCTAGGAGTAATCTTATCAGTTTCAAACTTTTTCTTATTTTTTCCTCTTTCTTTCTCTCTCTCTTAGGAAATATTAAAATCACTTTTTGGTATCAATATATAACTTGTGTGAGTTTTAGTTTTCCTTACGGCAATATTTGAATCTGAAGTTCTTTCTGCAATATTTAAGCAGATTGTAATGAAAGACTATGGAAAAGAGGGAGGAACAGGGAGAAGGTGGTCCCATGGGGGTCCTTGGGCACAAGGGGGATGGGAAAGGGGAGTGGCCTCCCCGAGCTCTGTAATTACTGTGGGGTGCTGGGGCTTCTGAATCCAATCTCAGCCTTGCATTATGCCAACTGTTTCAGTTCACAGGAATTACAGAGATGGGACTGAACCACTTTTGTCCCCCAGGTTTTAAGGAGGCCAAATAAGATCTACTGAGAGAAATGAAGTATTTAGGGTCACAAATGATCAGACAAAAGATCTTCATCAGAATTATTAACTGCACAATAGAAACACTAAAACTACCAGTAGGACAGGATAAGATAGGACAGTGCTCTACACTAAAGCAATTGTTTAAGCAATTCTACTCAAGTTGGCACCAAAGCAAGAATTATGAATTAGAGAGGGATGGAACTCCCCCAGACCAACGCTCGGGGGGAGATCTCTGCTCTCAACCTCCAGCACTGACCGTGGGGGGTCCCAGCCAAGGCAGGAATCTCCACACACCCCCCAAGAAGGGTTCTGTTGGCACAACCTGCCCCTGGCAAAGGGGACTGGCCCTTTCTGGTAGAAAGGGCTGGACTGACAGTCACTGGACTCCAGGGGTTGCCTCACCATCAGGGGGGTCATTCGGGGTGGGAGCAGCAGCCGAAGCTCTTCCCGCAGTCGGGGCGCTCGAGGGGCTTCTCTTACCGGTGGGTCCGTTGGTGTTTGGTCAAGGTAGACCTGTCGCTGAAGCTCTTCCCACACTCCCCACACTTGTAGGGTCTCTCCCCAGTGTGGATGCGCCGGTGGGTGATGAGGGTGAAGTTGTGTTTGAAGCCCTTCCCGCAGTCGGTGCAGCGGAAGGGCCTCTCCTCTGTGTGTATCCGCTCATGCAGGAGGAGATTGCAGCTGGTCTGAAACCTCTTCCCACATTGCAAGCACTTGTAGGGCCGTTCCCCAGTGTGGATGAGCTGGTGGGTGTGGAGGGTGGACTTGTCACTGAAGCCCTTCCCACATTCCCTACACGAGTAGGGTCGTGCCCCAGTGTGGATGTGCTGGTGAGTGAGGAGGTTGTAGCTCTTCCTGAAGCTCTTCCCACATTCCAAGCACCTGAAGGGCTTCTCCCTGCTGGGAGGCTGCTCAGGGACCACCAGCTCGGAGCTCCGGCTCAAGCTCCGGCCGCCTTCCCAGCACAGGACGGCTCTTTCCTCCTCACAGCTCCCTGGGCTGGCTTTGCAGCCCCTCCTCCGGGGGCATCTCCGGGCCTTTTCCTC